AAAGGGAAGGTGGAGGTGGGGAAGAGACAGAAATATTTAATAAATAAATAAATAAATAAAAATAAAAATAAAGAAGGTTTATATTGGGAACTAGGAGCCTGGGTGACTAAAGCTATTAAGACCCACCTGCCCAACCTGCACTTGGCCTCCTTTGCCCTGTGTGTCATTTGAGTCCAGTAATTCCTTTGGCATGAGGGAAGAAGAGGTGGTCTCTGGCCTTCTGATTCTACATGGTTTCACTTGGGCATACAAGTCTTTGGAGGAGTCTTTTTCATGTTTTTTCTGCAAATGAGAGACAGTGAGACAGAGAGAATCATTATGACTCACCAGAGGCTCTCCTTTCATACTTCCTCAGGGTGCATGAGTGACATTTCAGACATTTACATAAAACTAAATGATTGCTGATGTGGTCTTCTGGGACTTCCAGATGACTTGGAGTATTTGTTAATTTCCTCCATGCACTTCTGGCATATTATTCTGACACTTTGATTTCCTAGTCAGTGCCTCATCTTTTAAAATGAGAATGTCCCTGCCCTCAGGACACTTGAATCTGCCATGTCCATTACCCAGATTGACTGTTGGAGGAGAGATACTTGTTGGTTCCTTGCCACCTCTCTAGGTTAGACCCAAAATAATCACAAAGAAACTGATCAACTAAATCACTGGTTGGCCCACTAGCTTCCCACCAGCTAACTCCTATATTAATTTAACCCATGTCTATTAATCTGTATATCACCATGAAGCTGTGTGTGGTCCACCAGGTAAAGTTTCCAGCATCTATCTACAGCAGCTCCATGGTTTCTCTCTCACTCCGCCTTTCTCTTCCCATGTGATAGGCCAAGCCAGTTCTTTATTCATTAACCAATTAAAGCAACAAATAGTCAGAAGGACCTCCTACACCAATGTGCCAGTTCATCACATGTTTGTATGAACCTCTTAACTCAAGCCTCACCTTAGAAGGCTTCTTTCAAGTCCCCTTAAATTGATACTGACCATCTGTGCCTCACACAACCTCAAAATGCATCCTCTAACTAATTTCCCTCAAACACTTTGTACTGCTCAGTCCATGTGTTTGTCTCTGTATTATCTCCCATCCAGAGCTTGTTCCAGTGGGTAGGAAGACCTGTGCCATGCTACATCTGCCGCCCTTACATGAAGCACCGTCTAGGGGTAACCCAGGAACTGGAGAGATGAGTCAAGGAAAAGAATGTTTGCTGTGTAAACCTGAGCACTTGACTTTGATCACTAGTGCCCACATTAAAAAGTCAAACAAGAATGCACATGCCTGGGACTTAGGGGACACTGAGGTAGAGACTGGTGTGAAGGGTTCAGTGGTACCAGTTCACCCAAAGAGACAGCTCCAGGTTCATTAAGAGAGCTTGTCACAGAAGATGAGTTGTAGAAAACTAGAAGAAGAAATCATATTTCGACCGCCTGTACTTACACAAACGTGCCTACACATTCCCATGTACATGGTTCTCATTTACTTGTGTTTCCTATTAATTTACTTCTTAGTTTTATAACACAGATTAAACTCAAGGCCCTTTGCATCTGAGGTTATTTCAACAGTGAGCAACAATTTCTGACCATCATATTATCATAAGTTCTTAGCATTGTGGATAAACAAGAGTCTCACCAGAACATCCAGCTCCATGCTGTCTGCATGCTGTGTGACCTTCACAGTGGCATCTGTCATAACAAAACATGCAGGTCTTCCCCTGTCCAGATTCCCATTACATCTCACTTCCCCAGACCCCCTCCATATCCCAGATAGGGAAACAGAAGATGTAGTGGGGTAGAGGTGCATAGAGAGGATTTAGTGTCCCAGATACTCCACCACTTCTGTGATGGTGAAACCTCAGGTATCTCCCTCCCAGGCCCTTTTCCTCTCACATAAGACTTCTTCCTGGATAGCAGGAGCTGGCTTGGAGCTGGAGAAACAAGAGAGTGTCAATTGGCAAAAAGGAAAGTCAAGCAGGTAGAGTCTATGTTTCTGAGCATGATTTACCTCTTCTGGTGGCTTTTGTCCCTGGTCACTGAATCTGCATGATGTTGCAAATGAGTCTCTGTCCGGACTGCAAGAGAGAAAGTCCCTCAATGGGGAGACTAGAACCACTTACCTAGCACATTCAGGAAAGGATGGGACCTTTACAACTCATCGTGTGTGTGTGTGTTAAAATCTCCCAGGAGATGGAAAAGTTCATACAATACAGAATATTGCACTTGTTTCCAGATGATGTTTTGCAATCAGCATCTGCAGAAGTGTTTCTAGGCTGACATGTCCCAGACTGACCTTACTATGGAGGGTCAGTGCCCTGAGCTCCTGCTTGGATACTCCACAGTGGGACCCACTAACCCCCTGAGACCCAGGCCTCTCACACCCTACTCACCTCCCTTCCTGTCTTTGTTCTGATGCCTGAATCTGAGGATAAGGAAGATGGTGAGGAAGAGGAGCAGTAGAAAGAAGGCCACAGAGATGCCAATCACAGCCTTTTGGTACCTTGCCAGTCCTAGGAGACAGGTAACATCATGAATGAATAATTGTGAATAAGAAGTTACTGTGTGAGGCTAAAGAGGCAGTCATAGAGCCTGAATGGGTCTTCACTAGGCCCTCTGCATATAAGTTATTATTGTTGGTTGGTTTGGTTTTTGTGGGGAGTTTCTGACAGTGGTGGTGATGGGTATATTACACTTTTGCCTACACTTGGGACACATTCTTCCTGCTGGATGACCTCACCCAACGTTGATCATGTTTCTGCCTGATGTTATGGTATTCTTTTGTGCCATTTTCAACTAATGTGCCTGTGTGGTCTACCCTTTCCTGGGGCATATGATGCAGGTGTAGTGTATCTGAAGGAGACTGGATGTGTGAGAGGAGATGTGAATGAGTGTAGGGAGGAAATGCTGCAATTGGGATGTATTGTATAAGAGAAGAATAAATAAATAGAGAATTGACTATGTGGTTGCTCCATGTGAGGTGTTTGTTACTTGCTATCATTTTGAAAGCCATGTAACCTGGGACCACCTCTGAGCACTTTCAGTCAGTTTTCCTGCCAGAGATCACCCTGAAGGATGGTACATAGGTGAGGATTGAACCCAGGTTATCTGGCCTTTCACCATATTCCCTATCCTTGAGCTAAACCTGATTAACTGGAAGGAAGGATCCTGAATGTCCTACCCTATCCCTATACCATACTCCTAGACAATGTCACCAACACAATGGCAGATGGAGCAGAATCACTGCAGAACAGAATTCTAGGATCGTTTTCTGTAAGTAGATAAAACAGATAAGATCATCATTGAAAGATATTTAATGTCTGTGTCAGGGTCTCCCATTTACACTTGTAGAAACTGAGGATCACATAAGAGAGGGGCTAGTACATGTCAATCTCTCTAAACAAGAATTTACCAACTGCATAACTAGCTTGATATCCCCCAAACCCACCCTGCAAAAGAGTTGTTGCCTAGACCTCGGTAGTCAGACACAACAGGAATGAAGATCTGTTTTTCATGGCCTAACACAATTGGATGGGGAAATTCTGGGGAATTATCACCTGCTATCATTTTCAGTGATTCAGTCTAGGACAGATCAACAACATCACCTTCTATCAGAGTACCTCTTCTGCAGCCTAGCTTCTGAGCCTTTGGTTTTCTAGGAATCATGTTAGGAATCTCTGCTTCACGCCTAGTAGCTTGGTCATCACCCAAGCTGATGAATGAATGAAGATGCCTGGGGACAGAGTGTCAGCACATACTCATGGTGAAACAAAATCCCTAGTCAGGTAAATCTAAAACCTCTATGGAAATGGAATTTGGACACAAGGAGACTGTGGGAAATTTGTAGGGGGAATGATGAGTGGAAGGATGCCCTATTATGTCATCTCTTATCAGCCTTCTACCTACACTTCAGCTTCTCCAGAAACTTCCAGTTTCCTATCTAAAATTTTCTGGGACTCCCATGCAGAAGGTGAGATGATGATTAATTGAGAAAGAACAGTTTGTTTTTAAATCTCTCCCTAGGTCAAATCCTAGGTCAAATATTTTGTCTTAAGTGAGCTCAAAGAGGTCTGGGTTATCTCACCTGAAACTATGATCTCCACAGGGACACTGGGGTGTGACAACAGGTAAGGGGATGAGCTTTGGGAACCAAAGCATACATAGGATCCCCCAAGAGCTGAGGTCACAGCACTCATGGAGAATTCTGCCTGATTTTTTAAATCTTGAAACTGTGATTTTTGATGCAAATAGGGATGGGCTGCACCTTCCTTGAATAGAAGGAAAGTATCCACTGGGACTGATGATTGACACTGCAAGGTCACATTCTCTCCTAAGGAAACAGTAGTGCCTGGATGCACAGAGAGATTTGGTGCAACAGCAGGGTACCCTAAAGAGAAGAAAATTAGTGAGTGAAGGACTGCAGCCATTGTTCTGAGGCCCCCTTTCAGAACCTAGTCTCTCTATATTTTAACAGACTGTGCACTCCCTTGTACCGGGACCTATTCCTCTGTGAGATATTCATCATCATCTTGATGATGAATTCCAGGTCTCCTCCCAGCTTAACCTGTGCCAAAATGAATCCCAACTGAATGCACTAAAATCCTCACCTGTGATCAGGATGTCCAATGGATCGCTGGGGGCTGACCACTCAAAGGAGGAACTGTGTGCACCAAGGCATCTATACTGACCAGCAATGGAGGAATTCACAGAGCCTAAGGTAAAATTGGCATGAAAATCTCCATCCTGAGACTGATGGACAGAGGCCTGGGTGAGGCCACTTCCCCCCGTCTTAAAGAGAGCAAATCTGTCATAACTTATCTCAGAGGAACACTTGAAGATGAGCTTCTCTCCAGGTGTCAGGAGAGGGCCTTTGTGGATCAACAAGGAAGGCTTCTTTGACAGTCCTGAAAGCAGGAGACTCAGGAAGCCATACAGCTGGATCTTTCTATACATTCCACATCCATCCTGCCCTGACAGTGCCATGGCCATTCATACTGTGGGCCTTAGCACTCAAGAGTTTCCATTAGCCATCCTGGCTTTAAACCTTCCTTGAGGTAGCACAAAGTATGACAAAGGGTTTCTGGTGGCAAACAGTTGAGTAAATGAGACTTCCTCACCTGAGACATGTATCTCCAAAGGGTCACTGGCCTCCGACCACACATGGGTAGAATTTGTATAACGTCCATAACATCTGAAGGGCCCACTCTTGCTGGACGCCACAGTGATCTCAGGAAACAGAGCTAGGGACTGTCCATTATGTGTAAGCTGTGCCTTTAGGGACCTGGAGAAATTTTGATCTGCCCCAGTCAAAATGAACCAATCATATCCTTTAGATGAGACACACTTAAGGGTCACATTCCCACCTGGGGTCACCACAGGGCTGGGCAAAGCTGACAGAGTAGGTTTACCATGGTGAACACCTAGGAGAGGAAGAGGCAGCCTGTTTAATAAAAGACAGCCCATAATGTCTCCAGCAGAAAAGCTGAGGAAGCACACCTATGGCAGATTATTTCCTGAGGACAGAGGCAAAGATTGTGACACTTAGTGTCCTCTCACCCGTCACCACCAGCTCCAGGGGATCACTGCGCTCTGTCCAGCCAGCAGAGGTGTAAGAGTAACAGCGATATTTTCCTGCATGATGCTGTTCCATGGATGCTATTGAGAACATGGCCTTGTTACCAGGATCTATTGGGGTTTGACTGTCCCAGGGTGCTGGGTTTCCTTCTTTATAGAGGAAATACATTGGTTGGTTTCCCGTGGTCCCCTCACACACAATTGTCACACTATTCCCTGAGGCAATCACAGATCCCGGCTCAGCCCTCAAAATGGGTTTCTTGAGTTTTCCTACAAGGAAGTAGAAGAGAAGGATGTGGGGTCAATCAAACAGTTTCAGAGTAAAGATCAAACTTGCTCCTGATCTTGAACTTTACTCCTAAATAGAAAAAGAACCAATAATGTCATGGGAAGACACATCATTCTCCTGACCCTCCCAGGTTCCATTCTTACTATGCTGTCCCCTCATTTTCTATACAGTGACTCTCATGGTCTGCATACTGTGTCAACTGACTCAGGAACCCTGAGTCCTCAAACACATGACACACCATGATCTAAACTGGGATCCTGTGTCCAGTAGAATATGATTCTACAGAGACCCTGCTGTACCCTCACCTGAGATCAGAAGTTCCAAAAGGTCACTCCCTTCTGACCACACCTGAGGATTACTTCTGTAAGAGCCATAGCATCTGAACCTCCACCTTTGGCTGAAGGCCATTGGTGTCACTTGGAACTTGGCAAAAAATAACCCAGTGTCTTTATCTTGTGAACGCTCACTGCGCAAGAACTTCTGATCATCCTTAGTTACAATGAACCAGTTGTATGAATGATTTGAGGTACAAGAAAGTGTCACAGTCATTCCTACAGTCACAACAGGGTCTTGTAGTGGCAACAGTATAGGTTTATTGTAGACTCCTAAAAGAAATCACATAGAAAATTCAAGTGGACCACACAGTCTAAATTGCTGCCCACGGCTTTTTTTCTATGGGAAATAGTGCTACAGCAGTCGGTACTTGAGAGTGACTACTGGGGCAAGGATTTTTTAGTTTCTCTCACCTGTCACCACCAACTCTAAGGTGTTACTGCGTTCTGTCCATCCAGAAGAGGTGTAGGAGTAGCAGTGATATCTCCCTGCATTCAATTCTGTCATAGAAGAAATGGTGAGTTTTGCATTATTATTGTAGACTATTTGGTTCTGTTGGTCCCAAGGATCTGGGCTTCCCTCTTTATATATCACATAGATTAGGGTTGTTAGTTTTGCCTTACACCAGATGGTAACATAACTCCCTGAGGTGATCACAGAACCTGGCTCAGCCCATATGGTGGGCTTGTCAAGAGTCCCTGCAAAGAAGTAGGAAGAAAGTAGGTGCATCTGTCACTAAAATGTCACAGAGAAGGTCACAATTGCCCCTGACACATAAGCTGATCTGCAATAGCAGGAGTACACATAAAGACCACACATTTCCATGGATCTTCGATTTCATTATTAGTATCACTCATGATGACCAGCTGTATCAGAAATTCTGTGACATTGAGTCCAGTAGCCCTGGTTGTCAATCACCCAGCACAAATCAGGTATTTTCCAGGGACCCTGTGTCAGTTGCAATTATACCCAAAAGAACGTACTGCACTTCCTTACCTGATACCAGGAGCTCCAGTTGGTTACTGGGAACCGACCACAGCTGAGGGCTGCTCAAGGAATAACCATAGCATGAGAACCTCCACCTCTTGTTGGGGGTCACAGGATCCACCAAGAACGTGGCTCTAAATATGTCAGAGGATATTTTCAGTGAGAGTTCAGGACTCGAGAGCTTCTCACCGTCCTTCATTAGAATGAACATACTGTACGGTTGTTGTGACTGACACTGAAGGGTAACTCGCACCCCTGCAGTCACCACAGGGCTGGGAATGGCTGACAGAGCGACACTGCTGAGGTTAACTCCTAGCAGAGCAGAGGAGGGCTGTTAGGAGAACTTATATGAGAAACATGTTCCCCACTTCTCATATTTGAGAAAGGAGCCCACTTAAGGCAAATCCAGGAGCTGAGAGAGGGTTCTGTTACCTGTCACCACCAGCTCTAGGGTGTCACTTTTTTCTAATGAGCCACTGGTGCTTGTATAAGAACACCAATATTGGCCTGCATTGTTCCATTGAACTGAAGACATAGAAAACTTGGCCTTATTCTCAGTTTCTAGAAGGGCTGTTGGTATCAGGTAGTCTTGACTTCCTACTTTGTAGAGACGATATTCTTTGGCCTCTGAGGGCCCTTCACAGAAGAATGCCACCTGCTTCCCAGTGGCTACCACATTTCCTGGCACTGCTCTCAGTGTAGGTTTAGAGAAGGCCCCTGAAAGAAATTGACAATTCTTTCCCCAGAAATCCATTTCTGATACAGTCTTCTGACCCAGAACCTTTTAGGCATCCCCAACATCAGGCCAAACCAGCTGTTCTCCATCTGCTCTGCTCATGAGTTCCCCTTGATCCCCCACAAAAATGTCCAAACTAGGACAGCTGGGAAAACACTTACCTGCTGAAGCTGGGTTCCAGAGGTTTGGGCTTAGTCCTGGAAGAGAGTGAGCTGTGAGTGTTTACACTAAACCATGAGCAGGACCTACACTTCCAGGTGCCTTCCGGAGCTGCTCAGACATCCCAAAGGCCCAAATCATGATTGTGAAGTGGATTCCTTCTCAGAGAATATTTCTCCCTCCCCATATGGTATCTCACCAAGAAACAGCAGCACTATAAGAAATGGGGTCATGGCATCTTCCAGTTGCCACAGTTTGCAGATAGATGATCTCCTTTCCAAACACACAAACACAAATTGTGTGGCCTTTGCAAACTGGTGTCTGATTTCCGTCATGCGAATGTCATACTGGAAGCCCCTGAAGAAGAGGAACTCTTCTAACCAGCTGCCTGACTCTTTCCTTCCTGGGCTATGATGGGTTGGGCTAAAGATTTTGTGGATTCTGTCTCTCTGTGGTTCTTTAGTTTTTGGGTTTAAAAAAAAAAAAAAAAAATTAAAAAAAAAAAAAAATTAAACCTCATGGTGGTCTCAGATTCATACTTCTTTCTCAGCATTCTGTGTACTATATTACAAACCCAAGTCTGACTGTGGCCTCTTCCTGCAGCACATCTCCACATTAAACACCTGCATCTGTCTAAATGCTCTCAGTTACCACAGACCAGGAATTAACACACCATAAGCCTGATGGTTTCCTGACATAGCTCCTTTACTTGAGGGATACGGTGGTTGTTTGTTTCTCTTAGTTCTTGGTTCTCCTCCTTTACTCTTTCATACACACCAATCTCATGGTTCGTTTCCTAGCGTGCATGGAAGATGCTTTGGGATGTTGTATGAACATTACCTAGAGATACAAGAACAATGCCTACACCAGCCACATGAAAGAATGGTAAGAGAAACAAAGACAAGACTCCATACAAATCTAGCTGGTGAGACAATGAGTTATGTTAGGGCTCTGTATAAAAATGTCTGCAATCTTGTTATTTTTGTGTTTCGTTTATTTGTTTATTTGATTGTTTGTTTAGACAGGGTGTTACTATGAGCTCCAGCTGTACTGGAACTCACTCTGTAGAACACACTAGCTGTAACAACCATTTTCACACCCAATTGTTGAGAACAGTGTGTTCCACTATGGCCAAAAATATTGGAAACATCTCAGTGATTTTGTCCCTGGGAAAAAAAGCTTTGCCTACAAATTTTAACTGCCTATAGTTCTGATTCTTTCTTGTTCAACAACAAGAAAGAATACTGATGGGACCAATGTTCTACAGGTCACTTGTGTGTAGTAACAGAAACAGAGACTTCAATAGGACCAGAGTTTTGCTATGGGGAGAGCAGTGTTCTACAACAAAGAAAGCTGCAGGCTGATGCTGCTGGGATCATAGAGAACAAAAGGAACACACTGAGCACATGGTCTTTTATTTCTCCTGTATGAAAATAGAGAAGACATGTATGGAAATGGAGAAAGAAATGTGCTATGCTCATAGCTTTGATTTGATTCTATTCTGATAAATTATAATCTCCCATAGATTGATTGCTCTTTTCCTATCACCATACATGTCTAACATAAAACCAAATTCTCAGCATTCTCTCTTCTTCTGTGTTCCTCTTTTATTGTTCAGAATCCTTCTGGTTTTTGTAAAAGCTGAATTTGATTTAATGCCTGTGCAATCACAAATGTCTATTCCAAATTAATGTTATTGGCATCTCAACTCTGAGCCTCAGCACCATCCTGAGTGTCTAATATCAGTGTAATTTTCACCATATTCATAACTTCATGATTGCTTGTGATTTGGATGTACAAGAAAGGATTAACCTTCAGACAGTTTTACAATGTAGTTGCCATGCAAGAGGGATTTGATTATGTAAATGTTATGGTTAAAGGGTCCCTCTCTGCTCTCATATTTTGCATATGGTTAATACATTGCATCTAAACTGTGAAGGTCATCAAAATCAAACTTCCCCAAAATGAAAGTTCCCAAAATGCAGACAGTTCCTTATTCACGAAAAGAGGCTAACATTGTTCAGTGCCTTAATCTACCCTTGGGAAGGATCATTGCAGGGGTAGTTTTTCCTTCATGGTGTCTGAGATAGGGTCAGGGCTCCAAGACTGTTGTTGCTCTGCGCTATATTTGTAAACACATTCTGCAAATACTTTGTATTGTTGTCTGCTGTCCACGTTAACGCTAAAATAGGTTAATTCCTACATTTATTCACAGGTTTATTGTTTCCTGTGTAGGTATCAGTTTTGTTGTGGGATATTTTTACACTGTGTTACAAAGTTTTGCTTTGATTGGTGTAATTAAAGGCTTAATGGCCAAGAGCTGGCTGGAGGTATAATGGGACATCAGGGCAGAAAGAGAACTCTAGGAAGAAGAAAGGCAGAGTCATCAGTCAGACACTAGACACAGACAGGACAATGCAGCTGGGAGATGGTCGAAAGGCTGTGCCATGATTGCTAGGTAGGAGGGATAGGCAGGATTTCAGGGGTGAGAGAGAAAGATGAGAATGATCTAATCATGTAGATTGTGCCATGGAGACTCTAGAAGACTTAGAACAATTCAGAGGTGCAGAGTAGAGAAGAGTAACTGAACCATGTGATATGACATAGATAAATAAAATAGGTTCAGTTAATCTCTACAAACTAGATAGAAACAAGCCTAACCTATATGCTGATTTATCATAATTGATAAAAGTCTTTATGTCATTATTGGGAGGCTGGATAAGAAGTCAGAGAAAGACTCCTTACAAATGGCGTCCATTGTGGGGCTAAGTATTTCCACATAGTTCTCAAAAAAGATTTTAAAAAGTACCAAACATAGAAACAGATGTCACTTCTTATTCCCACGATCTTAGGTGGCCACTGCCTGACGGCTTGAGCCAGCCAGCACCATGTATGGTGACTCATGATAAGTTTAAGCCTTGTGTGTTTTTAAAACAAAAAGATAAGACACCAAAAAGAGAAGTAACACAGGTAGTCCAGCCTTTCAGACTGTCTCTGTTGCAGTTTCCTCAAAATGCTGCTTTTAGAACAACTTCAGATCTGCTAGGTGAGAGGGTTCAGGCTCACAGACAACACAGTCATACTTCAGATAGATCCTACATTTCCCCATCACACTAGGATAGACAATAGCTAGTAGCTGTCTCAGGACTTGACCATTATCTTAATTTTCTTAGGGATCCCTAAAGATCCATCATCTCCAGACAACAGGAAGCCATCTAGAGAGTACAATGCCTGTGTTTCCAAGAGATGGGGTTGGTGGTTTCTGGTCCTTCAGTGGTTTGTGGATGTTTGACATCATTTTGGGGGTTGGATGTAAATTGTTACTGGTCATGGTAAGGGTGGAACCTAAGTAAGTGATGTGTATTCAAAGATGACAGTGTGAAAAGAAAAAAAAAGGCAGTATATGGCAATTACAGGATGAAAGGGTAGATTACTGAATATACACTTAGACTAAAAAGCAAACACTAGTCTCAAATATTTTACATTGGTATGGACTTTTATATATTGATAGAAATTTAAAATTACCTTGATATGTTTTATGTACATTTCTGTTCTTCAAGGTATTGTACCTATGCAAGACATTTAAAAATGTCATGAATAATTAAGAGATACAAGTTAATAGTTAACCATATATAATAAAAATCAGACTTGTAGTCATATTAAATATGTCTTAAAGTTAACAAAGATATATTTTAGATGGAGAGTTGGTCCTCAAACACTTCATAAATCTAAACAATATGTCATTTAAGATTTTTTATTTAAGATGATTTTATATCCTAAGGCTTTTTATGACAGTGAGACATATGTGCTCCTGGAATTAGGAGTTTACTTTAAAAAGGGATGAAGAGCATGGAAAAACTACATATGGAGTTTGGGTTTTATTGTAACAAGATATCCATTGTGTAAAAACAGCCATTGTCTCATCTGCTGACAGTATGCTATCCACACTGGACAAGCAGGACACAAAAGAAGGCAACTGCCAAAATTTGCCAATACAAGATGGGATGGTCCTTCAAACTTCCTGTTTCACAGAAAAGTCTGTTAGATATTCTAAACCTGCCATCTGAGGATCGATGCCCCAATATTGTAAAGGGATCTTGGGGTGACTCTCTAGGAAGCCAGATATCTCAATTGTTTCTATAATTTTGGAGGTCTTTGCCCTGCACTTTCTATTTACTCAGGTAATATTTTAATCTTCTTGGGTTTCTAATGAGGATTGAAGACCAGATAGTTATACGTATAGTTATCCTTGCTAGTGAATTCAGAAAAATATAACTTACATGAAAGTTGAAAAGTTTATAAGATTAAAAAACAAAGAAACATAGTTCCTCTAGGATCACGAACTATAGGCTCAATGTCCTTTGTTTATGGCTAGAATCCACTTATGAGTGAGGACATACCATGTTCCTCTCTTTGG